ATTCATTAACCGTTTATTTAGTTGAAACTGGTACAACAAATCCTGTTCAATCAATTTTACCATCATACTTAATACATCCAACTTCGATCATATTTTATTCACTTTTTAAAACTTCATCAAAAGCTCAAGCAAACGAATGTGTTAAAAAAGTTTTATCTGGTAAATATGAATTACAATTTTCATTTTCAATTCTGGTCTACAAGATGTTTCAACCGATACAGTTTCAATTACAAGTGACCAGATACAAAAAGTTATTAGTAAAACGCTGGCTGATGGCGGTGGTACCAATGCACACTATATAACTCGACTTCAGAAAGCAAAATTTGTAAATAGTTATTTTAAATATGTCAAAACATTTATTTATACTGAGACAACAGAAAGTGTAACAGATATATTGAGTAGTTTACAAAAGCAATTTGATGTCTATTTTGAACAAGGTAAGTGGGTCACATCTCATTAGAGTCTATAGTAAAGGGGAAAAGGCGGCAACAGGAGCTTTCTGGAACCGTTAAATGCTTTCCGATGCTTGAGATGCTCAGCATTCGATACAGAGCGATGCTCTCCAACGCTAAGAAAGAAAAAATCGCCTTTATAGTTCACTCGCGTCTATAGTCCACTCTTGCATATTTCTACGTCAATATTTTAGCTATAAATAGTTCTCAACAAATTAAATCAGATAGTAGTTTATATCAACAAATGCGGAATTCAGCTGATTTAAATCCAGATCTGTTGACTAATGAATTAACGAAAATATTTACATACAATGATACAGCAACAAAATTTTATCAATATAAGGATGATTATTTTAATTATGATCAAGCATCGTCATCATCAAGCAGTGGTTCTGGAGGAGCCGAAGGCAGCTTGTTTGGCATTTTTAGTTTGGGTTTTGGAGGAGGTGGATCTTCGTCATCTGATCAAGAATCATCTACAACAAAACAAAATATATATTCATCGGAAGATATAAAACGATGATTTACACAACATGCTGTTGATTTAGAATGGACTGGACAAAAATGGTTTCCTAAATCATTCAATGTATCTCGAATAGCAGACATAACAGAAAAACTTCAAATAGCTCTAGTTGCAACACGTTTAACAGCTGACAGAGATAATGATGCTATCATACGAACAGTCAATGGTATGAATTATATTGTTATCACAACATCAACATCAACATCAACAAAATCATCAACAGCAAAATCATCAACGACAAAACCATCAACAACAAAACAGCCAACGAGAAGAGGTAATTAGAACGTATGATACTTAAAAACATTTTTTTGTATTGAGCTGAGCGGACTCAAAGCGTCATTGTATCTACATTAAGGCTTGCAAAGTGTCTTACTTGATAAAGTAAGTGTACTGAGCATAGTGGGCATGTTTCAGTAGAGTACGCAGACATTTAGTTTTCAGATTTAGAAAGCAGTTATTTAGGTTTAACATCGTTCGGTTGCGTTTCAAATGTTGATAAAAAGCAAACAAAATCAAACTCGAAAAAAACTTTTCGATAAAAAATCCTTGCGTAGTACCCTTGCCCTAAAATTTGACTGAAAATATTTTCTTGCGAAAGTAATTAAATCACACATTATTAGATGCAGTTTTATATGCTGATTTCAAATATCATGTTAGTTATTTTTTTTTAAAATCCTGTCGAGCAGAGAAAACCGAAAAATACCTGAAAAATCTACAACCCCACTTTGGAAAACATGTACATTTCTAACAAAGGTTATTGGATTATTTCAATACGAATACAGAACAATGTTTGCTAAAGCTTATATCAACAAAACACAAAAAATATACCAAAAAATTACTACTGATAACATCGAGTCGATTGCACAACTTCAATCGTTGTACAGAATATAGATATAGAACGGTGAATTTAGTTTTGTAGTTTAGTACAAAGCTAATATCACATGTTCGAATCTCTATTCGTACAAAAATTGATTTTGTGTTTTTCGATAGTTTTAGTTTAGAATACTATAACGGAATACTCTTCCGCTTGTATTCTGACAGAATAAAGCTTATATCAACAACAAAGTTAGAAAAATATTTCCATTGAAATCAAAAAGCACACGTCCGTAGTTAGATGTTAAATCTACAGTTATGGCCTATGACGAACAAGTCATTTCTAACTATATATTTTATCTCTTTTTGCCTTTTTCCCCTTGTTTCTTTCAGTCTATTCCTTATTTTTCCTTTTTGTCATATATGACTTAACATATGACGAAGAGCTAAAACAGTAAATGAAACGAAAGACGAATAAAGTGAAAACATGAAAATAAACCGGTCTAGTGACACATCAAACCAACTAGGAAAAAGGCACATCGAAGAATCAGTTTAAAGTGGATCTTTTATCTCATAAAATCTTTGACCACTGCATGGTTTCACCCATCTTCTTATCGTAGATTTCCATTGTGGGCTTATAGTTTTACATCTGTTATACCCCCGGTTTGCTATAGTGTATACTGATTCCAGTATTTTCCTCCTAAATACATTTTTCTCTTTATCATACAACACTGTCTTCGAAGTTAATATCACATGCGTTTCCATTTTCAAAATGTTTTGCTAATTCGGAGTTTTCAGAATCTCTCATATTTATTTTCTTTTGATGTTGTACTGTCCTCTGTTAAACGATATAGTTTCTCCAACGTAAGTGTCACCACAAAAACAAGGAATTCCATATATCGCAAACTCATTTAGATATTCCTTACTTCTTATTGTGGTATTTTTATTTTTCCTTTTTATTTCAAAATTATTATTACCTA